TTTCCATCCTCTAAGGTCTTCTTCAATTTCCTTCTTTGGTGTTCTGTAGTTTTCATTGTAGAGGTCTTTTACCTCTTCTGTTAGATTGATTCCCAAGCATTTTATATTTTTTGAGGCTATTTTGAATGGGGTAGTTTTCCTAATTTCTCTTGCAGTGGATTCATCACTTGTGTATAGAAATGCATTTGATTTATGGGTATTGATTTTATATCCTGCTACTTTGTTGAATTCATTTATTAATTCTAGAAGTTTTCTGGTGGAGTTTTTTGAATCTTCTAAATATAGAATCATGTCGGCATATAGAGTTTGAGTTCTTCTTTTCCTATGCATATCCCTTTAATTTCTTTTGTCTGTCTGATTCCTCTGTAGTATTTTAATTTTTTCTAAAGTATTTTTTTTTAGTTATAGATGGACCTTTATTTTATGTATTTATATGCAGTGCTGAGGATTGAACCCAGGGCCTCACACATGCTAGGCAAGCACTCTACCACTGAACCACAACCCCAGCCCCTTAATTTTTTCTTGATAGCCACATGTGATAAACTGAGTAAAAGAAATTGCTGTAAATATGTCTTCAATAACATGGTGTAAGATGTCGGGGAAGGGAGATATTCTGTAGCCTGTGCCTCTGGAATGTGAACTTCATTTGTGAATTTCAATTTTTCTCTCTCCCTCTTAATTGGATCAGGATTATCTGAGTGGGTTGGAGTTGGAATTTTCCTTTGCACAGGTTAGTTAAGCTCTGATGAAATGACCTGGGATGTGCCTAGTGGCACATATGTGTAATTCCAGTGGCTGGGGAGGCTAAGGCTGGAGGACCACAAGTTCAAAGCCAGCATCAGCAATTTAGCAAGGCCCTAAGCAACTCAGTGAGAGACCCTGTCTCTAAATAAAATACAAAAAGGGGTGAGGGGGTGTGGCTCAGTGGTTAAACACCTTGATGCCAAAATAAACAAACAAAAAAAACCTCCCAAACTAACAACCAGTGTGTTAAGCTCTGGTTAAACATTTCTCCTGAGGGCAGACCTTTTTAAGAATGGAATAATGGTGTCTTTCAAAACTTGCCTTTGCTGTATGTTCAGTGGGAGGACTTAGAGCTTTAGGAGGTAAAACTCATAAAAGTGTGGATCCCTTATACTGGGTTTCCCTGAAGTATTTAACTCTCAGAGTTGTCCACTCTGAGCTTACAGCAATTCATCATTTACAGTTCAGGTTTTCCTACCACATGAGTTTCTGCTCTAGTTGTGATTCTTTGTATTCACCTGTTGGGCTCTTCAATTTTGGAGGCAACAGTTTGCCCTGTGATCTCACTTCTCTTTTTTTTGGTGGTACTGGGGATTAAACCTAGGGGCCCTTTACCACTGAACTACATCCCCAACCCCTTCTAAAAAAAAATTTTTTTTTTGATACAGGGTCTCACTAAGTTGCCCAGAGTGACCTTGAACTTGTGATCTACCTGCCTAAGCCTCCCAAGTGGCTGGGATTATTATAGGCATGTGCTGCTACAACCACAATTTATGGATGGATCTAAGAAGAATTGCTGATTTTTCAGTTTGTTTGGTTTTTTACTTTTTGTTAGGATGGGGTACCAGCTTAAAGCTTCCTATATGCTGGACTGGAAATTGGAAGTTTAGACTATTAAATATATTCATATTGTTGTGCCACCACTACCACCATGCATCTTTAGAACTCTTCATTTTGCAAAACTAAAGTTTTATCCTCATTAAACAGTAACTTATTTCCCTCTCCAACTACCCCTGACAACCACCATTCTGCTTTCCATTTCCATGAATTTGTATTCAAATAAGGTATTTTCTATAAGCGGAATCAAACAGTATTTGTTTTATTTTGTTTTTTGTGACTTCCTTATTTCATTTAGCATGAGGCCCTTTAGGCCTGTGTTTTATTATGTTTTGAAAAAGCTTGAGGGAGACTAGTATTGTTTTTTTTAAATGTTTGGTAGAATTCACCAATGAAGCCATGAGGTCCTAGGCTTTTCTTTCTTGGAAGATATTTGATTACTGATTCAGTCACCTTGATAGTTATAAGTCCTCTCAAATTTTCTATTTTTTCAAGATTCTGCCTTGGTAAGTTTTGTGTGTTGGGGAATTTGTTCATCTAGCTTATTCAATTTGGCACAAATTGTTCATAGTTATAACCTTTCATATTTTTGTAGAATTGATAGTAATGCCTTCCCTCTTTGATTTCTGATTAAGTAATTTGAATGATCTCTCTTCTTATCTTAATCTGGTTAAGGGTTTGTCAGTTTTGTTGACCTTTGACGAAATCAGCTTTTATCATTGATTTTTTTCTCTAGTTTTTGGTTTTTTAAATTTCAGTTATTCTTGATCTAATTTTATTTCTTTCCTTCTGCTAGCTTTGGTTTAGTTCTTATTTTTCCAGCATCTTATACTGTAAAGTTAGGTTGTTGATTTTAGATTTTTCTTCTTTTTCAACATAAATGTTGATGTGTATAACTTTCCTTTTTTACAGTGCTTTAAATGTGTTACATAGTATGAATATGTTGTATTTAAATTTTTGTTCATTTCTAAGTATTATCTAATTTCCATCGTGATTTCTTCTTTGCTATGTTGATTGTTTGAATATTTTGACTATTTGCATAAATTTGTAATTTTTCCAGTTTTCCTTTTGTTTTTGATTACTAACTTCATTTTATTGTGATTACAGAAGATGCTTTGATATTTTAAAAAAGGAATTTTGATTCTTATCTTAGGTTGTATTCAAATAAGACTATAGGCCTACCTGAAAAAATTTTCTAAACTGTGAAACTTCTAAAAAATAGTGAAATTTTTTTGTGACTTCAGGTTAGTAAGCAAATATTTCTTATGACACCAAAAGTATGAATTATAAAAGAAAAATGGGGTAAATCTGGGTAAAGGTAAATTGGGACTTCTTCAAAATTAAAACTTCACTCATAGAGAATGAACAGAAGATACAGACTGGGAGAAACTTTTACAAGGCATATATCATATAGAGGACGTGTACTTTTATAGGACACTCAGCCAGGGCAGGTGGAGCATACCTGTAATCCCTGATTTGAGAGACTAAAGCAGGAAAATCACAAGTTCAAGGCTTTCTAAGTTCAGAAACTTAGCAAAACCCTAACCATCTTAGTGAGATCCTGTTTCAAAATAAAAGGACCAAAGGGTTAGGGGTGTGGCTTAGTTGTTAAGTGCCTCTGTGTTCAATCTCCAGCATAAATAAATAAATGAATGAATAAATAACTCAAAACTCAATAGTAACAGTCTGATTAAAAAATGGGCAAATGTTTGCATAGATAACTTCACCAAAGTTGATAGTGGCAGATAAGCACACGAAAATATGCTCAACATCTTAATCATTAGGGGACTGCAAATACCATGAAGAGATCTCACTACCCATTTATTAGAATGGCTAAAATTGAAAAGACCAAACAATTGAAAAGACTTAAGTATTGTTAAGGATATGTAGGAGTTGGAACACTCAAACACTACTGATGAGAATACAGAATGGTACAACTACTTTTAAAAAAAAGTTTGGCAGTTTCTTAAAATATTAAACACCAACTTACCATATGATTTAGCCATTCTACTTTTAGCTAGTTTATCAAAAACCAAAAACCTAAAACAAACAAACAAACAAAAACACTAGAACAACAACACTTGTGTCTGCACATAGACTTGTATATAGATTTGTATGTTAATGTTCAGAGAAGCTTTATTTGTAGTTGCCCTAAAGTGGAAACAGTCTAAATGTACATGAATAAATGGACCATAGCCTTATGATGGAGTTCTTTTCAGCAATTAAAAAAAAAAAAACTTGTTACTTGCAACAACATGGACAAATCTCAAAATAACTATGCTGAATGAAAGAAGCTAAACAACAACAACAACAACAAAAAGATTAGGAACTTGTTTTCATTTAGATAAAACTGGAACATTTAAACTAATCTATACTGACAGCTGGTTAATTCTTGTCTGAGGATGGTAGAAAGGGAGTTAAAGAGAGGTAGGAGGGAATGATTTCAGTATGATGATGGCTACATTCCCGGTCTTGCTTGTGGTCATGGTTTCACAGGTATAGACATATGCCTAAATTTACCAAATTGTATATTTTAAATATGTGTAGTTTATTGTATGTTCAGTATACCTTAATAAGGCTTTAAATAATAGAATAAAAATTCTATTTCTAAAAATATGTATAAATTATAAACTGCTTCAGGTAGAATAGATTTTTATGATATTTGTTCTAGATCTTTCCTAGAGCAGAGAATTGGAGAACTTTTTTTTTTTTTGTTCTCCAAGTTTTGGACGTTTTTTACCTTGTTCCTTTCCTCCAGATAATAATAAATAATACTTTGCCTCTTCTGTTATGCTTGAACTCAGGCTCATTTTAGTTGTTATGCTTTATCATCAGTAATTAATCTGTGTTTTAAGTCTTTTCCCTTTCCCCAGTTTGAAAGGTCCATCAAATTTTATCTTTTTTTTTTTTTAATCCTTTTAAAATACCTATCATCATTACAGAACAGGTCAACAACCTTTCATTCATGGATTAATGTAATAATTTCCTAACCAGTCCTTTTCTCGTCTAATCAATTTTCTGACTGTTATCAGACTAACAGTTGGGAAAATAATGTTGTGCTTCACATTTTTCAGCAGGCCACTCATGTTAGCATTACTAAGCATCCACTGTGTGAATGGAACTGTAAAGGATTAGGAATAGGAAAATGGGAAGCTGAAAAGGATAGGATACTTCTCAATTATTTATTTATTATTTATTTTGCTGTGGGTTGAACTCCAGGGTCTCTAGAATGCTAATAAGCATGTGCTCTACCACTGAGCTATATCCCCAGCCCCATTTCAAATAATATTTATGAAGAAGTGGAGTTTAAATATAAATGTGATTTTTACCTGTAACATTGTTTTGTCAAAGAGAACACACTTGAGGCATTTAATGAATAGCAAAATAGTAAAATATTTTTCCTTCCCCCCCCTTTCTAGGTTCCTGTTGCATGTAAATCTTGTCCCTGTGGTTACATATTTATTAATCGGAAGCTTCTAAAAATAAAACACTCAGAGAAATCATCACCTTTTACAGGTAATTTTGAGAGTTTACCACCTTTCCACTTTTTTTCATTTCAGTTATATAAATTTAAGATTAATTTTTGTGAGTTAAAGTTTATTTTTGCTACCGAGGTTAAAATGTTAGTTTATGGACATATTATTGTTTTTTGTTAGATATAATAAGTCAGTTTATGACACTGGTTTGTTTTTTATCCACTGTAAGTGTTAACTCCCTCACAATGCTGATAAAGCTTGTAAGGAATTTTATTTTTATTTTTTAAGCTTGTAAAGAATTTTAATGAGAAATTTCAATTTGCCAAGGAAGTTAAATGGGAAAGAATAGTATTTTCAACAGATGGTGTTGAGATACCATGATATATATCTACATGTGAAAAATGATATTGGGCCCTTATCTTTGAAGATACTAAAAAATTAACTTTAAATAGATCATAAAAAGAAAATACCATAGACCTAAAGGTAGGAGCTAAAATAAGAGTACTTTTAAAAGAAATCCTAGCAGCAAATCTTTGTCCCCATGAGTTAGTGTTTTCTTAAATATGACACCAAAAGTGCAAGCGAAAAAAGAAAAAAATAGATAAGTTGGACTGCATCAAAACTTAGCTTTAACTGGGTATTGTGGCTCACATCTGCAGTCCCAGCAACTGGGAGGCTGAGGCTTGAGGATCACAAGTACAAGGCTTACCTCAGTGATTTAGTGAGTCTCTGAGCAACTTAGTAAGACCCTGTCTCAAAATGAAAAATTCAAAAAAGGGCTTGGGGTATGTAGCTCTGTGATAAAGCACCCCTGAGTTAAAGCCCTAGTACCCCAACCCCAAATTGAAACTTCATATTCCAAACAATACTATCTTTGAAAGTGAAAAGGCAAGCCACAAGATGGGTAAAATAATATTCACAAATTATATATCTGAGATTTGTGTCCAGAATGTATAAAGAACTCTTACATCTCAATAGTAAAAAGAGAAATAACCCAACCGAAAAATGGGAAAATAAATTGAATGGTTAGTTATCCAAAGAAGATATTTTAAAATGTACGAAAAGGGCTGGGGATGTGGCTCAAGTGGTAGCACTCTCACCTAGCATGAGTGAGGCACTGGGTTCGATTCTCAGCACCACATAAAAATAAAAAAAAGATATTATGTCCACCTAAAACTAAAAAAAAAAAAAAAAGTATATGAAAAGATTCTCAACATATTAGTCTTAGAATATGCAAGTCAGAACCACGGTAAGATAATTTCACACCTATTAGGACTGCAATAATAAAAAAAAAGACATAAAATGACATTTTGGTAAGAATGTGGAAGAATTGGCACCGTATATACATTAGTGGGAATGTAAAATAGATCAGTTGTTTTTTGAAAGAGGCAGTTCCTCAAAAAGTTAACCATTGAGTTACAATATAGTATGTAGCGATTTTCTTGTAGCTATATACTCAAAAGAATTGAAAGTAGAGATTTTTTAAAAAATATTTATCTTTTAAGTTGTAGTTGGACACAATACCTTTATTCCATTCATTTGTTTTTTTATGTGGTGCTGAGGATCGAACCCAGGGCCCTGCGCATGCTAGGTGAGCACTCTACCGCTGAGCCACAATCCCAGCCCCCAAAAGTAGAGATTCTTAACACATACTTACTTATACACCATTGTTCATTAGCAGCTTTATTCATAAATAGCTTCAAAATGGGGAACATCTCACATGATGTTAATTGAAATATAGCCATATAATGTAATACTCTGTGACAATAAAAACAAAGGAAGTACTGCTACATGGTACAACATGGATGACACTTACAAGCTGTATGAAAAAAGTCAATTATGTATTATTGTAGGGTTCCAATGCTCTGAAATGTTCACATAGGCAAATTTATAGAAACAAAACATATTATTGGCTTAGGGCTCTTGGAAAGGGGCAAAGGTGAATAAGGAATGACTGCTAGTGGGTAGAGTTTGTGTAAAATACACGGTAACTCTGAAAAACCTTTCTGTAAAAAAATACAGATTTGCAACCTTGTGGAATGTATTAAAAACTATTGAATTGTATACTTTAAGTAGGTGAATTGTATGGTATGTGAAGTATATCTCAGTAAAAGTATTTTTAAAAAAAGTCAGGAAGATACTTATGAAAACTATGAGAGCTGATCAGTCCTACCAATCATTAAAATACTATATGAAATATTAAATGAAAACATTGTAGAATTGGCATATAAATAGACAAATAGAGGGAAAGAATGGAAAGTACAGAAATAACCAGGTGTGGTGGCACATGGCAATTTCAGAGACTCCGGAGGCTGGGACAGAATTGCAAGTTCAAGACCAGCCTTAGCCACTTAGTGAGACCCTGTCTCAATATAAAAAATAAAAAGGGCTAGGAATGTGGCTCAGTGGTTAAGTGCCCCTTGGCTAAATCCCCACTACCCCCACCTCAAAAAAAAAAAAAAAGTACAGGATTAGACCCAAATTTATATGGAAAACTACAGATGACAAATCATTAGGAAAAAAAGTAGACTTTTTCTTTTTTTCTCTTATTGAGGTAATATATGCATGATATAGTAGTCATCTTTTTAACCATTTCTAAGTGTATAATTCCATGGCATTGAAAACATTTTAATGTTTGTACCTATCACCACTGTTTATACTCAAAATTTTTTTTGCATTCCCAACATAATTTCTGTACCCAGTAAACAGTCTCCCCTTGCCTTACTCCTTCCTGCCCCTGGTAATCTCTATTCTTCTTTCTCTCTCTGATTTTGGCTACTCTAGGGACTTAACATAAGTGGAATCATACAATATTTGTCTTTTTGTGTCTGGCTTATTTCACTGTGTATTATGTTTCTAAGGTCCATCTATATTGTAGCAAATATCAGAATTTCATTTTTAAATGGCTGGATAATATTCTATTGTATAGACACATTGTGAATGCCTCTGATGCTGAACATCATTATACAAGTTTCTGTTTGAGTCTCTACTTTCAATTCTTTTAGATATATGGTGGGAGTGGAACTGCTGGATCATATGGTATTACATGTTCAAATTTTTTGAGGTGCACCATTTTACTTTCCTGCAAATAATATATGAAAGTTCCAATTTTTCCATATCCCAATATTTGTTATTTTCCTTTTTTTTCTGTAATGGGGATTGAACCCATAAGTTCAACTAACAAATAATATTTAATAGTGTTATTAAATTATTATAAATAATATTCATTAATATAAATGCTGTAATATAGTCAATAAATGCATTTCTCATAGGGATATGAATTAGAGATTCTGAAACTATATATGTACTAAAATTGCACATAGGTAAATATATTTTAGATAAGAACTGGGTGTCTTACAAATAATGAAAAGGGCAACTAAAATAAACTGTATTGGGTTGAAATTTGAGATAGTCTGTATATGTGTGGGTTAATATGAATATATGTATTTCCTAACTGTCCACTGAGAGGGACTAGAAGCATTAACTAACATCCCAGTAGTAATAAAGAATTCTTGCACCCACGTTTGTCTTCTCTTTTTCTTTCCTTTTTTATTTTTTTGAGACAGGGGTCCTGCTGTGTTACTCAGGCTGGCTTCCTGGGCTCAAGCAGTCTTCTTACCTCTCAGTCTCCTGAGTAGACTTTTGTTTCTAAACACAATTCTCCAATAAAAGGAATCAGAGCTATTTGGGGAAGTGGTCAATTCCAGGACTGGGACAGGGAAAATACTAGGGAAAGCTGGAATATCATGAAGTATAAAAAAACATTTCAGGGCCAATATTGTTGAAAGAATATGGGAGCCAACTGAAGAATCTACTAATAGCTAAAGTTGAAACAACCTGAGCAAAATAAATAATGTTAGTGGTGAGCACTTATAATCCTAGTGACTTGGGAGGCTGAGATAGGAGGATCACAAATTAAAGCCAGCCTCAGCAACAGTGAGGCACTAAGCAACTCAGTGAGACCCTGTCTCTAATTAAAATACAAAATAGGGCTGGGGATGTGGCTCAGTGGTTGAGTGCCCTTGAGTTCAATCCCTGACACCATAATAAATAAATAAATAAATAAATAAATAAATAAATAAATGCTGTTACCATTGGATCATAATCCATAGAATAAAGTAAATATCTACAAGTCCATCCTTGCATACATAAATAAATAAGTAGGGTAGAAGGGACAGTTCTTCCTTATAGGAGATTTCCAGTTAATAAATGTGGAAGGAACACAGGAAATAGGAAATCAGCATTAACAAAACAAATTAATAGTTGCCACAAATATGATTCTCTGATGAATCATAAAATTAGTGGGTGAAAATTTGAGGAGAAACAAAATTTATAATCTTCAAGTATCTTCCTCAAGATCTTCATTAACCACAAAAGGAAACAGTAACTTTATAGTGATGACATCTGACAAAAATTAATTTAACCAAATTACCAAAGTCAGTTTCATAATAAAACATGTTGGTATCATGGATCCTATGATGTGATGCACTGAAAGAATGCATTTTTGTGCATTCTTGCTGAAAATACGTAGCCCCCAAGCTACATTAGAAAGTATGGGCTAGGGCTGGGGATATGGCTCAAGCGGTAAAGCGCTCCCCTGGCATGCGCGGGGCGCTGGGTTTGAGCCTCAGCACCACATAAAAATAAAATAAATATGTTGTGTCCACCGAAAACTAAAAAATAAATATTAAAAAATCCTCCCCCCCCCCGCTTTAAAAAAAAAAAAAAAGAAAGTATGGGCCAAACCCAAATGAGATAACATTTGGGAGATAATTCTTCAGAAAACTCAAAGTCAACAGATAAGAAAGAACCTAAATACATTTGTATACTCCTGTAACCCTAGCTATTTGGGATACTGAGGTAGGAGGATCACAAGTTTGAGGCCAGTCTGGGCAACATAGTAAGACCTTGTCTCAAAAATAAAAAGGGGGACTGGGGTTGGGGCTGTGGCAAAGTGCTTGCTTCACATGTGTGAGGCACTGGATTTGATTCTCAGCACCACATATAAATAAGTGAACAAAAATAAAGGTCCATCAATAACTAACAAAAATTAAAAATAAATTAAAAAGAATAAAAAGGACTGAGGATGTAATGCAGTGATAGAGTGCTACTGGTTCAATCCCCAGCACTCACAAATGGAAGAGAAAAGAAAAAAGAAAGATAAAACTGAGGAACTGTCATGAATTGGATGAGACTAAAAAGACATGACAACTAAATATACAGTGGGATTTAAATAAATAAATAAATAAATATTCTTTTTACAGTATCCAGCTTTGCCTAATGAAGTCAGAAGTTCTCCTTTTGAACATTTTAAGCATATTTGTTTAAAAATATCTGTTTCAGATCCATTATTTTTATGTATTTTTGGGATATATAGTTTGGCTTTTTATTTTTAATTTTTATTTATTTTGTAGTTATATTTGGACTTAATAACTTCTTTATTCTATTTATTTATCTTTATGTGATGCTGAGGATTGAACCCAGGTGGGCCTTGTACATGCTGCACTAGCTATTTGGGATACTAAGGTAGGAGCTCTTTACCGCTGAGCCACAATCCCAGCCCCTGGCTTTTTGTTTTTAACTAGCGTGTTTGGAGTAGGAGAGGTAGCATCTCATATTAATGAAATCTGTATTTTGGAAAATTTTGTTCTCCCATTTCTGTTCATTTAGTAACAATAGGGTAATTGCTTTCCTTATATTGGAAACTAAAATTAAGTTATTCACTTCTCTCATTGTCTTACTGTTGCAATATACCTATTTTTTTGTTTTTAGTAACAATATACTATGGTTGAGATCAGATTTTTTTACCTGCCTTGGTAATAAAAGATTAATTACCAATTTATTTCAAAGTTTAAACTGGAGTTTTGAGGACAAAAAGGAACTGAGACCTTTCCTTTTTCTTCTTCTCCATTTTGGAGGCAGGAAAGTTGCTATGGAGGGATATGTATAGGGGCTGTATATGTATTTATAAGTTGCTAAAAAGTAAAGTTCCCTTCCTCCTACCCCAAGATTCCTCTCAACTCACATGTTGACCAGATTTAAATTCTGCTGAATCACTCTGTAGTTTGATGGACTTGGGAATGAGTTTATTATGGTTGTAGTTTTCAGAAACACCCTAGACAGTAGATTCTAGTGCCATATGTGCCTGCTGAGGGAAAAATGTGAACTTGGACAGTTAGTTCTTTTATTCCCCTAAAATATTACTTTTATTCATGTACACCAAAATTAAGAATGAACCAAAAAGGTCAAAATAGAGAGGTAGGTTAAAGAAGATAAATTCTACATAAAGATTTAGGGAACAAAAGAAGGTTGTGGGGCTGGGGATGTGGCTCAAGTGGTAGCATGCTCGCCTGGTATGTGCGAGGCACTGGGTTGGATCCTCAACACCACATAAAAATAAAATAAAGATATTGTGTATACCAAAAACTAAAAAATAAATATTAAAAAAAATTCTAAAAAAAGAAGGTTGTGAAGTAGCAGTCATTCAGAACATATGAAATGGGGAAGAGACAGATGTAAAAATGAATTTTTTTCAAAAAGCATAAGAAATAGGCTTATCAGTCCATTATGGGAGAATTTACCCCCAACTCTTAAATTGTACTAGATCCCTGCTACTAAAAAAATTGTTTGGTAGGCACTGAATTCTTGGATTCGAAAGCACAACTCATATTTTAGTTTGAAAGCATTGTCTTCTATGGTAGATGATTATAAAATTATGAGAAATTTTATTCATGTCAGAGAAAGCCAAAAGGCCTAAAAGAAATACCCACCTAATATGAACTGATAGCAGCTGAATACAGTGACAAAAAGTTGTATCCTCTAAGTGAAATTGCTGATGTTTGATCAGTTGAAACTTTATCACAATTGGTAAAGTTGATATCAGGTCTATTTTTACCTGTGCTCTTCAGTATTTTTAATAGTACTGTACTCTTCAATTTTCTTTGATTGAGTTTTTATGGTTTATTTTCTCCACAGAGGTGAATAATACCATATCTTTGAAAGATTTGCGAATACTTTTTTTATATGAATTTAAACTAGGACACAGTGCAGCCATGGCAAGTAGGAACATCAGTTCTGTCTTTGGAGAAGGCTCTGTTAGTGAAAGGACCATCCGTTGGTGGTTTGAAAAATTTCGTTCTGGGGATCTGAGTCTGAAAAATGAGCCTCGAGGGAGACCCAAATCTGTTTTAGATGAAGATCACCTGAGAGCTCTGGTGGAGGCTAACCCCCAAACAGCAATTCGAGGCCTTGCTGCAGACTTAGGAGTTTCTGCTACAACAGTGGCTCGTCACCTGGCTGCAATAGGGAAAGTGAAAAAATTGGACAAGTGGGTAGGTACCACACCAGTTGATGGATGATCACAGGCTGAGATGGTTAAAATTTGAAAGCACAGAGACCTGTTTTGGAGAGGATCGTCAGCTTTAATGAAAAAAATGGATACATACATGGCAATTGAAAGTGATCTGATCAACAATTGGATGTTGGTGAAGTTCCCAAACATTTGTTAAAGCCATTGTTACAACCAAAAAAGATTCTGGTAACTGTAGGTGGTCTGCAAAAAGGGTATTTCATTACTGCTTAACCTGGGCAAATCTAATTAACATTGTATTGTGAAGAAGTTGACATTATGCATAAAAATTGATCTAGAATCATTCTGCATTTGGTTAGCAGACTTGGATCTATACTTTTCTGGGATAGCATTCAGTCACAGACAGCACAAGCCATCATAGCGAAGTTAACAGAATTGGACTGAGAAATTGTGTCACATTCATTTTTACTCACTAGACCTTTTTCAGAGGATTTAAATAAATTTTTAACAGTGCTGAATTTTATGAACATTGTATATATCATTTAATATTTTACGACATTATTTTGAGAAATTTATCATTTGGGGAATACTAATCACTTGGTGACAGTAGTTAATGCTAACAATGCATATTTTGGTTGAATATTTATTTTTTTGCTGGGGGTATAGCTATGATAGAGCACATGTTTTGCATGTACAGTTCCTGGGTTTCAGCTGTAGCATATGTGCCTGTGTGCACCTGTGTGTGTGTTCACACACTCATACCACAATTCAGATTGATGTGTTTCTCTCAAAATAGAACATTTTCATTTTGACATACAAAAAGTCACTTTCATGTAGTTTAGCCTGATACCTTCCCAGCCTCTGGCAGAACATGAAGACTGAAAGGTACTGGCATGGTAGAAAATTTAGATTTGCTGATGAGTTTTTGAGATTCTTCATGGGAGGAATGTGCAACAACTTCGATTGTATATGTATGCAAAAGATATTTAGGAGTCAACCATGGAAAAATCTGGGTATAAAAAGAACTCCAGGGAGATGAGAAGCCTAGGCAAATGCCCCCAGGCTCTCAGAGAACAGTTTTTGAAGAAATGGAAATCATATTACTAACAATGAAAGCCATTCACGTAGAGACATGGCTATCCAGATTATAGTTACTCTATGGCATCCAGAGATTATGTTGGGGTAAGGAAACTGAATTGGTACTCTCCTGCCTCTCCCTCAAACAGCCTGCTAAAGTCTTCTCATCCATGAGAGAGAGGAGAGTCAATAAAGCCTACAGTGAGGGAAGGACATCTGGATTGGGTCTTACCTAGAGGGAGGCAATGGAGGGAAAGATGGAATGAAGATCACCTAAAGTAGAACTGACTGTAAGAACCTCAGGATACTTTAGTGCAAATTTAAAAAAAAAAAAAAAGCCTCATTCTTTTGGGTTGAAGCAGTCCCACGTGGTGACACAAACTTTGATGAGCAGAGCCTAGGCTGCTTATAGTCTAATTTACCTCCCTGGCTGGGTGCTTTGATCTGAAGTCATCTGCCTATTTACTACTTATCCTTGGGTTTGTCAAAGAAAATCCATTGTTTTGGTGGACTCTGCCTTGCTGCAGAGAGAATGAAGCCTCTGATTAAATCATGCCATTCTGGTACAGAGCCGAGACCAGAAATGTGGGAAGGACTTTTATTTCAAATCAGTATGAGGGTGAAGCTTAGTAGTCACAGAGCACAAGAGAAGTAGCTTGACCAATGTGAAAGAATGTGATGATGTATAGTTACTTAGTTTCTTTAGAGTAAACGGCAGTTGTTATTTTATGGCCATCTGTCTTTCCCCTTTAGACTTCTCAAACTGCAGAGCAGGAGGCCAGGCTTTGGTCTAAAACTATCAGGGGATATTCTTATCCAATTCAGTGTGGTGGTTTGTGGATAGGTAGGAAACCCAAAACAGAAGCAGTGAAACATGATGAGACAGGAAAAGGAACAGATACAGGGTTTTACACTATCCCAGTGATCTTACCTACTACCTCCCATAAGAGAGACAGAAATGGGCCCTGTGGTTTTGTGAGTGCTTCGATACAGTTGTGTTTGAAACCAGTACTACCGTTAGAGTTTTTTTGTTTTTTGATGTGAGCTAGTAAATATCCATTTTGCCTGAGCCACTTTGGATGTGAGCTAGTAAATACCCATTTTGCCTGAGCCACTTTGAATTGGGTTTTCTATTTTGACAAAAGAAACATTCTTTCTTCATATACTTCCTGAACTTTGCTTTCCTTAATTGTAGAATTTGCTACCACTATGTAGGGTTTGAGTGACAATATGAAGAACAAGACACAGACTAGATGTCCAATAAGTAGTACTTAGTAATATATGAAAGAAAAAGCAATGGAGGTAAAGTAAGGTATGGGGCTCCTAGAGGGCCCTCTGGCATCCAAGGAAGGCCAGTGGGCTGAGTTCAGTGCTCAAATGAAGGCTGATGCCTGACTAGCATAGATCAGAGTTACCCAGCTCTAAACGCACATTAGCTCTTTGAGTTGCTTAGACCCTGTGGCTTTTCTCCAGAGAATGTTCCCACCCAGTGTGTTATTAGTCATGTAGGAAGAAAAGAAAAGCTGTTAGGACAGAGTGGAGGCTTATTATGCCTTTGTCCTTGACAGTTATTTCTTTTTTAAACTTTTTTTTTTATTGCAGCCTTTCATTTTAGGCGTATGGAGGGTATATGTGAAAGAATCAACACAAAATGACTAGATTTTCATCATTGGGATAATCCTCCATTGCCTTGGAAGAGTAGGGATTTAAATCTATAATTTTTTAAATTTAATAGTTATGTTGGATTTCTAATACAAAGGAGAAAATTTATACCTGTATAGACTTACCAAGCATCCTAATGTTCTCATTCTCCTTTTCCAAAGAAGAAGGAAAAGCTTTAAAAAGAATCTTTGGTAGAAAATTTGTTTCGAATGTCAAAATAAGGAAAGGAATGGAGATGAAGGCTGCTACTGTGTCCCTGCAGTATCTTGAGTCCTAATAGCAAAAAAGAATAAAAAGTAGCATTTAATAGCCATTTTATTTCATCAAGTATTTAATACTTGTTATTAAAGTTCCTGCCTAGTCTAATTGGATATTTTGAGACTAGAACACCTATAGCCACTTTAGCAGCGTACATGCAAGATCTTGGGCAAAGTAAGTAATAGCATCAAAAGCTAGTGAAAAGTGAATTGAAAGAGTACCCATCCTCAGCAGGGTGCGTCTTTCGTCCTCTTTCCATTGGTGCTGCAGCCACAGAGACTTCTTTCACTTTTACTGTTCTGTCTGAATATTTGCTATCCCTCCCCATCTCATTAATTCCTTTAGCTCAATAAATGGAATCACACAGTACATACAAAACCTATACATCATGCAAATTCCCTCAAGGAAGTCTTTACTGATTCCTTTAGCCACCACAGGTTACGTCCTTCCTGCCCTAAAGCCTGAATGTGCTTCCTTCATAATTTTAATAACAGTGATTATGTGTTTGTGTCTACCTTTTCCACTAGTTTATAATATTCATAAGCACGGGGACTTTATTTTGTTTATAAGATCATATCCTCATCAAGAACACAAGGCCCAGTACACAGTATATACTTATTCAATATTTCTTAAATGAATAATAAATGTAAAGGCAAATTAATTCACTTTGTAGAAAACTTTTGTGTTGGTATCAGTGTAAGGATTATATCCTACAGCAAATAATTAAAAATCTAATGAACAATGGCTTAAACGAGTAGGTTTTGATTCCTATAGTTTATGGAAACTTCAGACATGTAACATATTTGAAATTTATAGTAAATCCTAAATGCTGATTATACCACTTTTCTATTGTACCCATATTTTACTATAATTGCTTGATCATTTACCCACATATCTACCTATCAATTATTCATCTTATTTTTTTAATGCATTTCAATATAAATTGTGCATCAGCACATTTCACTTTAAGGTAAAAGTATATATGAAGTAATTAAATACTTCAGCATACACATCACCACTTAATGTTCAAAATTTGCTTAAGGTTCTTATTTGAGGTAAAGTTTAGCTCAGTAAAGTCTTAGGTGTACCATTTTGTAGGTACTAACAAATGCAAACACTTCTGTACACAAATTGCTATTAAGATACAGATTGTTACCATCAGTCTAGAAAGTTCCCTCATACCTCACTTACCCTGGCAAACCATGCTTTGTTTTTCTACCATAGAATAGTTTTCCACATAAATGAAATCGCATAGTACATATAAAACCTTTACTACACAGATTTTTTTTTTTTGATACTGGGAATTGAACCCAGGAGTGCTTTTAACACTGAGCTACATATCCAGCACATTTTTTATTTTGACATAGGGTCTCATTGAATTGCTCAGGTCCTTGCTGAGTTGCTGAGGCTAGTCTTGAATTGGCTGTTCTTTTTCTGCCTCAGCCTCCTGAGTTGCTGGGATTACAGTTGTGTGCCATCATGCCTGGCTACTACCATTTTGATGTTCATCCAATTTGTTATGTGTATCAAAAATTTGCTCCTTCTTAAAGCTGGTTAGTATTCCATGAATACCACAATTTGTCTGTTTACCTGCTTGATGAGTAGTCTTTGGTTCCCCCTTCCCCAGTCTGTATATGTTATTAATAAAGCTGTTATGAATATTCTTGCATAACTCTTTTTGTGAAAATGTTTTCATTTCTCTTAAATACTTAGGAGTGGGAACTGGGTCATAGACCATGTGTGTATTTGGTTTAACTATTACATAGACCCCATAGTGTTAAAGACCTCTTCTTTAAAACCCACTCCAGCCAAGTTGCTTTTCTAGGAAATTTACAGAAAGAAACACATTTCAGATGAGATTTTCAGAAAACTCTCTTCAGGGCCTAGTTTTCTGATTTATGCCCTACGCCATTCTCATCAGAGGAAAACTGAAGTGCTACCCTTCCGTTGTTACCTCTTCTCCCCAGTTTTTTTCATAGAGATTTTAGCCATCCAAGAAATGGCCCTTGCAGCCGTACCCCCATCCCACTTTTGCTAATATTATGACCTTCATATTTTTTCAGTCCTGTCCCTATTCTTCCCTACTGTCCTTGCCTCAGGTTTGATACCTGATAATCATTCTCAACTTCAAACCTAATTCTGTCTTACCTTGTTGTCCCAATGCCCTAAGAATAAAACCCAAATTCCCTTAGAGGTGGATATAACCTACTCTCCAGCCTTGACTCTGCCTTGCCCTTGGTATACCTACAACACAGAACTACTGACTCCCTTGCCTTTGCTCATACTGTCCCAGTCTGAATAAAGAAATCTGTCTCTTACTATTGTCCTGCAGTTTGTTAATGCATCTACAAGAATAAATATCACATTTGTACCTCAGAGTTACATTTTTTTTTTTACCTTTTTTAAAAATTTTATTTTTACATGGTGCTGAGGACAGAACCTAGGGCCTCGCACGTGCTAGACGAGACACTATCGCTGAGCCACAATCCCAGCCCCTCACCAGAGTTACATTTTAAATAGTGTTTTTTTTTTAAATGGTGTTTTGGTGATTTTCATATAGATCTCTTCTTAAGAGCTGTAATGATATTCTTTTTGTATGTCTACTCTTTAACTGCCTCATGTAACTTATTGGATTCTCAGGTTATTCCCAAAAGTTTGTTCTAACCAGGAGTGCTATAGTGCAGTAATCTTTGCACAAGTAGAAGTGAGCTCAGGAGGAGAATATTTATTCAGGTTCCTTAAGGTGGGTTGCTAGGTCAAAGTCTAACTGGCTTTTAATAGTCAACCTATTTACGCTTCCCAATAATATCTCAACTTTGCGGTGAGACGATTTACACCACTAGACTGCATGTTCTTTGAGAGCAAACATTTTCACATTTGCCTGGTCGAACTGGCCCTAAAAATATTTAAATTAACAAATTTTATACTGTGTAGTGCCAAGCCCAGTGCTTGGCATGGAGAACACTTATAATTCCCCACCGATTCGCCTTGCTAACCGAAGTGTATTAATCCCGGGATTTGTGCTAAGCTAAGCCCCTCACCGTCCGCAGCCCCTTTCACTCCAGAATTCTACTACTAGGGAGGGGGCGTGCCCAGCACCTACCCGGGCATTTATTGGTTGAGTTCGACGCCCGTTACCCTGAGCCACGCCCCCCACAGTCAGGCCTGGAAGAGACTTGGCCATTGCCACGCCAGACTGTCAAGGAAGTCTTCCCGTGAGACTCGAGGCGAGCTCCAGGCCGGGCAAAGTGCAGGGCACAAGCTGACCCACCGTGGTGGGGAGAGTGAGCCGCAGTCCCGAGGAGCGGGCACCAGGGACCCGCTGTCCACCGCCGGTCAACGCCGCGCCCCGCCCCTCAGCACGCAGGCCCAGCGCGAGCTCGCGAACGTGCGCGCGCGCCGCCAGATCTTTGGTCAGACCTGCGGGAGTGGGGACGGGGCGGGCGGAGGCCGGGCTGCTGAGGTACTTAGGGGAGGAGCCCGAGCCGTCGCTGCCGAAGGAGAGGAGCATGTCTGCAACTCGAGCCAAGAAAGTGAAGATGGCCACCAAATCATGCCCCGAGTGCGACCAACAGGTGGGCGCCGGGGGCCGAGCGCACGAGCAGTCGGGGCGGGTGCGCGCAGTCGGCGGCCGTTGCTTGGCGGCCGTTGGCTAAGCAAAGGCCGCCTTGCCTGGGTCCTGGCGGTCGAGCGGGTGGGCCGGCCGGATTCTTGGTGGCAGCGGCCGGACCCCGGGACCGGTCGGGCGGAGCCACGGGGTTGCCGGGGAAACGACCCGGGCCGGTGACCGGCGGGTTTTCCGCCTGGCGGTGGTCAGACTGGAGGCCCCCGGGTGGTCTGACCCAGCTGCGCGGGGGGGGGGGGCGTGGGTTTGTGTCGGGACCCTATGGAGTCGCCTTGCGGGCCACGGGTGACAGCTCTGGGACCTTGGGGGCCGCGGCCCCAGTGGAGGAGCACGGCCCCTTCTAGTTCCCTTGGGCTGGTGGGAATGCCCGGTGTGCCCGACTCCGAGTGAGTCCAGGCCCCTGGCTCTGAAGGCTCTGTCCTGCCACACAGGGTTGCTTTGTTCCCATTTCAGTTGTGTGTGGTGATCTCCCAAAATTGCCCAGACAGCGTCTTGGGCGGACGCTTAAACATGACAAAAGGGGCCGCGATGTAATATTAAGTTTTTGCGAATTTGGATTTTTTTCTTCTAGATCTGTTTATTATATTTTTAATGTTGTGTAATCTCTGATTCTTTCATTACATTGTTTTTTTATGGAACATGATTGAACAACGTCCACGATGAAGCCCTTCCCTCCTGGAAGCTCCTCATCCCACCCGTCGCGATAATCACTTATAAATTTGACGTTTCTGTTTCCAGATCTTTTAAAACATTTTTCATGTGGTTTCATTAATTTGAAATGATTCTTGTCTGCACCAAATTCATGTTGCAATGGTTGTAATTAAAGAAAAACAAACCCGAATTTAAGCATGCCTCATTCTTTACTATAATAGCAGATGTTCTTCTAAGCCTTTCCATCTAATGAGTTAAAACTTCCTCAATTAAAACCATTCGTAAGACCCCCATTTCATGCCAGCATGCAGATATGGGTGTGTTTTCCTTCTCCAGAGTGAATTTTTTCAAAATGACTACCTCTTTCTCCTCCCCTTAAAAAAAAAAAAAAATCAAGAGTAATTTGAAATGGCTGGAGACGTTATTTTAGAAGCTGATTTTAGATGCATTCTTTCAGAAGCGGTCTTATAGGTTGACCAAATATTGTAACAGAAAACACGTTAAATATTTTAGTATCATTTATGGGTAGTGATAAAAATGTGATGAGAGAAAGGTTGTGCAAGAATACATTTTGTTGAGCCTTACAAGTATGCAGCATCAAAACAATTTGGTCATATTTTCTAAAATAGTTACTTTCACTTACCATTATACTAAATTTGTTAAATTCTAAAAAATTGTACATGGTGAATTAAGTGTGTTGGCAATAATTTCAACTTATTCCAGTTAATTGTTTAAAAGTATAAGGTTTACATGGTATCCATTGTGCATTCCAGTTTCTGTAGGGCACAAGTCATTGCAAATCCTGTTCTTGTTTTACTTGGCAAAAAGTTATCTTTTGGGGAAAATAATCTGTTTTTAATATCCTGGTTAAAGAAAGAGCAAAGGATAATAAACTTGTAGGAGACCCTGACATTGTTCAGCAAAACATGAACAGTGTTTTATTTTGAAAGATCACTTTAATTTCATTATACACATATATTCACTTGTATAAAAATAGCTGTATCTTGGTTTGCTGTGGCTGCTATAACAAAACACCATGATGGGGTGGCTTAATCCACAAAAATTTATTTTCTTATAGTTCTGGAGCCTGCAAGTCCAAGATCAGTATTCTGGTGAGGACTTTCTTGGCTTGCAGATGCTGGCTCTCCTTATTACTATGATGATGATGATTATGATTTTTATTTAGCTTTTATTTTGTGATCGTCTTACCTCAGCCTCTAGAGAAGCTGGGATTCCAGCCATGTGCCACTGCATCTGGTTTAGCTGGCTGTCTTCTGAGTGGCAGCGACAGGGCAAACTCTCTCATAAGGTCACTAATTTGATTATGAAGGTACTATCTCCTGACCTCATCTAAACCTTACTATTTCTTTTAAGGCCTTATCTTCAAAACCCATCTCATTGGAAGTTAGGGCTTTAGTATGTGAATTTTTGAGTGGATGGTGGGAGGGACAAAATGTGATCATAACAAGCTATTACACAATATGTTCGTGGTTGTTTTGTTCTTTAATCACTTAAAAGAGTATAATATGCATGTTGACAAACTAAAAGTTATGTTGATTTTTTTTTTTTTTTTTGGTGATTCTGGGGATTGAACCCAGGAGTGCTTTACCACTGAGCCACACGCCAGCCCTCTTTATTTTCAACTTTGAGATAGGGTCACACTAAATTTCAACTCTCTACCTCAGTCTCCTGAGTTGCTGGGATTACACACCCCGTGAAAAAGAAGCATATACTTTTAAATAAGCAGAAGATAAGTTTAAATTACTTTTACTAAAAGAAAAATCACTTTTTAAGAATCACTAAGCTTATTATTATGGTGCATGCCTGTAATTGCAGCAACTTGGGAGGCTGAGGCAGGAAGATTGTAAGTTGAGGTCAGCCTCAGCAACTTAATGAGATCCTGTCTCAAAATTTAAAAATTTTAAAAAGCCTGGGAATGTAGCTCAGTGGTAAGGTGCCCTTGGGTCAATACTCAATATCCCCCACCAATTTATAGTATAAGCTTCTTTTAGTTATAAATTGGAAAAAAATTACAATCAAGAAAGCAATTTTCTAAACAACATTAGAATAATGCTATTACTTTTATAACTTTAAGTTACCTAGTGAACATTAACTTTGAATTTAGTTGTTAAACATAGATGTAAAATCTTTAAAGTCTGAGATTTCTATACTTGACTAATTTTGCATATCCTGTGTTCAAGTTTAAAAAAATAAGATACAGAGAAGCAAACAGGAAAGAGCTAGATTTTCAGCTGCTCTATAACATCTCTTTCATTGGCCTCTCAAAAATAATAGTTCTAAGACATCTAAATCACAGTGCTCTTCATTTTCAATGGAGTTTCACATCCACTGACCACTCAAAATTACTAAGCCATTTTGTGTGTAGTAATTTTCAAGATTCTTGCCAGTTTTCTGGTGTCTTTTATGTACTTTTTTACCTTCATTTTTATAAAATATATGTGTCTGCTCTACATAACTTTGGTTCTTTTAGCAGTAAAGAATATACAGTTTAGTTGGATGTGGTGGCGCATGTCTGTAATTCCAACTATTTGGGAAGCTGAGGTAGGAGGACTGCCAAGTTCCAGTTCAGCCTGGACAATTTAGCCAGACCATGTCTCAAAATAAAAAAAATATAGAAAGGACTGGGGATGTAGGTTAGTGTTAAAGTGTCCCTGAGTTCAATCCCAGGTATTTCAAGAAAAAATAATTGTAATAGTTTACCCTCATTTGCAGGGGAATATATTCCACGATTACCTAGCATATGCCTGAAACCTCAGATAGTAAGAAACTCTGAATGCAATATTTTTTCCTATACATACAAACATACCTCTGCTAAAACAATTTATAAATTATACATAGTAAGAAATCAATAAGCAATAATAAAATACAATCATAACAAATATATTGTAAAAATTATGTGAATGTAGTTTATCTGGATCTCAGGATAGTTTACTGTACTGTGTTCACCCCCCCCCCCTTTTTTTTTTTTAACTTTAGGTAATTAAAACTTCAGAAAGTGAAACTGGATAAGGTAGAACTACTGTAAATGAGTTCTCTGTAATATGGTTATTTTAGAGCTTTTGAAATATCAGTAAAGCAATGTAGGACCAGGATCTTTTTTTTTTCAGTACTTAAAAAAACTGTTTTACTTAAAATACAACAAATATATGTACTTTTGAAGAAATGAGTTGATAAATAATAAATCATCAATAAACAATATTTTTGGTTCTTTTAAATTTTAAAATTGTGAAAGTATAGCATTAGATTTTTTATTACAATTGTCTTCAGTATTATCAACTGAAATTTAAGGGAAGTTTTGGATATTTGCATAAGATCCAAATTATTTTAGTTAATATAATGAGATTAGTATTGCTTAAGTTACCTAACCTATTTCATAGTTTTTTTTTTTTTTTTTTAAACAGAATCTAGGGTGTGGTGATGATTGGTGGTTTTGTTTCTAGGGCAGTAGTTGGGAGGGACTTTCCATTTTAAACAGGACTTTAGAGTAAATTAGCTGATACACACAAAGATTTCTTGATCAGAACTCATTAAGAGATGAAGATCAAATTATTAATTGAGTTAATGTGTGTGCATCTGGATCCCAAAGCCCTATGTGTATTTCTCATTTAACTGCTGCACTCTCCTAATTCTGGATATAACATAGGTTGATATGATTTTCTTTTGTATGACAGACATCTAAATTTATTGGATTCTCGTAGTTGGAAGAAAATGCTTGCTGATTAGGATTAGCAAAGGAGCTGTTGATGTTGAGTAAGAACATCATGCTTCTGTGTTTTTTGGATAGCATTAAATAGTTTACATTATTGTGGAGGCCCTTGTGATATGTTTAGGTATAAAGGAAATAAGTACCTTATTATTATTATCATCTTATTATTCAGAGAAACCAAACAATGTGAATTTTAAAAATGATAATCAATTTTGGCAGATTTTACACTATTAAAAATGTAACATTACATTTTTCATCAAGGTTTGGAAGGAATCTCATTACAATCTTAATAAAATAAGCTTGTTAGACATATCTTTTTATAGGATCATTGTTATATCTCTTAAATGCAAATTAGAGATCCTTTGTTGGGTATTTTTATGCAAAGAAAAAGAACTCTTCTGCCAAAGTTTCAATTTAGCTTAATTAGATGGAATATATTCTAGAATCTGAGACATTTTGTACATATATGGATAAAAAGCTTTATAATTATAACTTAAGCAGAGCAACTGGCAAACGGAATTTATCTTACCCAGAGAATTTCAGTTTTCTGGCTATAATTACTCAGAGAGTACTTTTTTGTTAAGATTAGTTTCTGACTTTTGGTGAAATTGTGATTCCAAGGATTATTAACTAAATATTAATGAAATGCTTGTGGTGGGGAAACTAAAAAAATTTAAATGATTTTTAATAATATGTATCTATTGAAATATTTATAGGTATGAAATTGAGAAAGGAATATAAGTATTTTGCAGATTTGGCAACAGAAGCCTATAAAAGAACTAAAGTGTTTAGTCTAAGATTGTTCCTGGAGTTGAGACTTTAAGATCTTAGATCTCAACTCCTACGTTCTATTTTAATTATATTATATTCCCCCCCATCCCTCCCCTCCTCCAAAAAAAAAAAAAAAACCTGGTGGTTATAAAATGTTAAAGTCCCCTCTCTTGTTAGAACCCTGAGGTATTTTTGGTTCTTCCCACTGTGGTCAGTTTGGTCCTAAGTCTTGTTTTTCCTGGTTTTGAAACATCTGGTAAATCTACCTCTTCTCCATTTTCATTCTCACTATTCCAGTTGAGCCTTCATAATCTTATACTGGGATTACAGTTTGTTCTGCAGCATAAACTGCTATCAATTAACATTTTAGGAAATGATACTTTTTCCTATGTACCTCCTCTGGTTTTGACCCTGAAAAGGTTTTCTCTTGATTACTCATATCCGCACATATTTGTCATGCGTTTACTGTTATGGTATTAGTATAGTAAGCACTAGGAGAATGTGAATATGTATATAATTTGTTGTAAGGAGGTAGGGTTTAAATAAATCAGATTGCCACTTATCATTCATTTATGGAGATAATATGCACTGAAAATCTAATAGAAAAAGTAATATATTTTTATTTTTTTCCCCACAGGTTCCTGTTGCTTGTAAATCATGTCCCTGTGGTTACATATTTATTAGCAGAAAACTTTTAAATGCAAAACACTCAGAGAAATCACCATCTTCTACAGGTAATAGAGTTTAATATTAAAATATTAGCTATTAGAGGGATGTAACTCAGTGGTAGAGTGCCTTAGCATGCCTGAGGCTTTGGGTTTGATGTCAGTGCGTGCACAAAAAGAGTTGTTAGAAATTGGCTTATGATTGGTTCATTTCATTTAAATGGTTAACTACCTTGTAATGCTTATAAAGTTTATAAAAAATATTTATTTTAAATTTTATTATTTTTTTTGAGAAGCTAAGCAGTAATTGATGTTGAGTAATTATACATATCCTAGTTCCCTCTGAAATTCCACCTTCCTGCTTCCCCCATCCCAAGTAACCACTGCTGCTTTCTACCTCTTTTCATCTAAATGGAATCATATAGTATGTATGATACTCTTAACCTGGTTTCTTTTACTGATCACAATTATTTAAGATTCAACCCAAGTTTTATGTATCAATAAGGTTTAATTTCTTTTTATTACTTAGTAATAATATTTGTATAGTTATGCCACAATTTGTTTATCTACTCATCTGTTGGGTTTTTTCCTCCAAAAGCTCTTGTAAAATTTGCAACATTTCTAAAGTGTTTTTTGGTGGTATTGTTGTTTTTTTTAATCTAGTCACTGAAAAAATACATCTTGGTTTTGTGTGAATATATTTTTTATTGTTTATTCATAATTCTCTGAGACTGTCTAAAATAATCTTATTTGAATTTATTACTTTTCTGTTAATATAGTCAAATGGGTTTATTCAGTAAAAGACAAAATTTTGTTAAGCATTCTTTGATGAAATCATAGCCTCATACACTGGTATCAAAATAAGATTAGACTGATAACAAAGACACAGTGAGTACCTACATGCTGGGTGCTGTTCTAAACTTTGGTTATAAATCTGTGAATTTACTCTAAATGCTGGTTCACTGCTATTATAGAGTTTATATTCTCGTGAGAGGAAGATAGTGAACAGATAATGGGCAATATTACCTTGTGATAAATGCTTTGTAGAAAATTAAGGTATCATACTAGCATGTGACTAGAAGGCTACTTTTGACTGGACGGCATCTCTGAGGAGGTGATATTTAATTGAGCTTGACTGGGAAGATGGGGTGGGCCATGATGAGGTCAGGGAGAGGAACATTCCTGACAGATGGAAATAGCAAATGCAAAATTACAAGGCTGGATAAAGTTTTTAAATTTTAGAAACAAAAATGCCCAGTGTGGTTACATCCTAGACAGTAAGATAAGAAGACTGAGAGTCCAGAGGGATAGGCAGGCCATATTATGTAGAGTTTTGTAAACCAGAGTAACAAATTTGAATTTTGTTTTTAAAAGGTTGGGAGAAGCTCTCCCTGGATTTTAATTTATAATTAAATTTCTTAAAAGTAAGATTTACTTTGGGCAGCTGGGATTGTGGCTCAAGTGGTAGAGTGCTCGCCTAGCACACATGAAGCACTGAGTTCGATCCTCAGCACCACATAAAAATAAAGATATTGTGTCCACCTAAAACTAAAAACTAAAAAAAAAAAAAAAAAAAAAGATTGGATAATTTGTAGTATATAGGAGAAATTTAAAAGTATTTTTTAAAATTAATTTGTAATACTGGGAATTGAACCCAGGTCCTTAAGCATGCTAAGCATGCACTTTACCACTGGGCTAAGTCCCCAGCCCTAAAAAGTATAATTTCAAAAAAAATTTAACAGTAATATGTATAATGTATAATGACTCGATTTGAGTTATTAACATTTCTGTCTCTTCTAGCATTATCATTTCTCTGTTTTGGGAATCTTTGGACCCTTCTAATTATTTTGAAATATATCATAAATTTTTGTAGAGTATAGTTTCCCTACTATGCTATAGAATACTAGAATTAATTCCTCCTGCGTAACACTGTACTTGGTACCCTTTATCCAACCTTCTGTCTATCCTCCAACTGCTTTACCCTTCCTAATCTCTAGCGACCGGTGTTCTATCCTCTTTTGAGATATTAACTTTTTTAGCTTTCACATGAGTGATGAAAATATGCAATACTGTCTTTTGTGTGTCCAGTTTATTTCACTTAACATGATGCCCTCTAATTGTATATATATTGACACAAACGACTTTCTTTTTTGTGGAGGAATACTAGGGATTGAACTCAGTGGCACTCAACCACTGAGCCACATCCCTGGCCCTGTTTTGTATTTTATTTAGAGACAGGGTCTTACTGAGTGGCTTAGTGCCTCACATTTGCTGAGGCTTGCTTTGAACTTGCAATCTTTCTCCCTTGGACTTCCAAGCTGCGGGAATTACAGGTGTGTGCCACCTCACCTGGCCATGACTTTCTTTTTATGGCTGAATAATATTCCATTGTATGTATACCACATTTGCTCTACCCTTTTGTACACTGATGGACACTTAGGTTGATTTTCAAGATACGGATTTCACTATTGTGAATTGTGCTGCAATAAATATGGGAGTGCAGGTGTCTCTTTGATACATTTGATTTTATTTTCTATGGATATATACCCAGTAGTAGGGTTGCTGGATCATGTATGATAGTTCTAGTTTTAGTTCTTGAAGACCTCCATAGTGTTTTCCATAGTGGCTATACTAATTTACATTTCCACCAACAGGGTTTAACAGTTTTCTTCCTCTACATCCATACTAACATTTCTTAATTTTTTTGTTGTTTTGGTAATAGCCTTTCTAGCATGGGTAAAATGATATCTCATTGTATTTTTAATTTGCATTTACTTGATGATTTTGATATTAAGCATTTCATGTACTTATTGGCCACTTGTATATCTTCTTTTGAGGAATGCCTATTTAGATTTTTTTTGCCCCCTCCTTTTTTTTTTTTTTGGTACCAGGAATTGAACCCAGGGGACTTCACCTCTGAGTCACATCCCCAGCCCCTGTTTTTTATTTTGAGACAGGGTCTCATTAAGTTTCTTACCATCTCGCTGAATGGTTGAGTTGGTCTTGAACTTGTGATCTTCCTGCCTCAGCCTCCTGAGCTGCCGGGATTACAGGCATGTGCCACCACACCTGGCTCTTCACCCATTTTAAAAATCAGATTGTTTTCTAGCTGTTGAATTGCGTTTCTTAAATATTTTGGATATCAATCCCTGTTGGTTAAATAACTTCAAAGTATTTTATTACATTCTTCAGGTTGTCTTTTCATTCTGTTGATTGTTTTTTTTTTTTCCTTGTACAGAAGCATCTTAGTTTGATATAATTCCACTTGTCCATTTTGATTTTTATTACCTGTGTTTCTGGGATCTTATCTACTCCCCTCCCCCCAAAAAAATCATTGTCTGTACCAATGTCTTAAAGTGTTTCCTTTCTTTTCTAGTAGTTTTTTAGTTTCAGGTCTTAGGTCTTTGATCCATTTTGAGTTGATTTTTATATATGGAGAGGGTTAGGGATCCAGTTTCATTCTCCTGCACATACATATACAGTTTTCCCAGTACAATTTATAAAGAGAATTAACCTTCCTACAATGCACTTGGCAACCTTTGTTGAAAAATCAGGTGACTCTGTGTATATGGATTAATTTCTGGGTTTTCTGTTGTTTCATTGATCTCTGTGTTAGTTTTATACTGGTACCACACTGTTTGGTTACTGTAGCTTTGTAGTATGTTTTGAAGTCAGCTATGGTAATGCCTCCACCCAGCTTTGTTCCTTTTGCTCAGAATTGCTTTGGCTATTCAGGGTTTTTTGTGTTTCCATATGAATTTTATGATATTTTCCCCTCTATTTTGGTGAAGAATGTCATTGGCATTTTTAAAAAATATTTTATTTTTTTAGTTGTAGATGGACACAATATCTTTATTCTTATTTATTTTTGTATGTGGTGCTGAGGATGGAACCCAGTGTCTCACACATTTTAGGCAAGCACTCAGCCAATGAGCTACAACCCCAGACCCGTCACTAGCATTTTTTAAAAAAATATTTTTAGTTTTAGATGGACACAATACCTTTATTTTGTTTATTTAGTTTTTTTTACGTGGTGCTGGGGATCGAACCCAGTGCCTCACGTGTGCTAGGCAAGTGCACTGAGCCACAACCCTGCAATGCAATGGGGGTTGCATTGAATCCGTAGATCACTTTTGATATGGATATTTTAAAACAAGTAAATAAAGGCATTGTATCCAACTACATCCCCCCCCCCCAAAATATTAATTCTTCTAATCTGTGAACACAAGGGGATATCTTTTCATTCTTCATTTCATATTTTCATTTTCTTTCATCAGTGTTTTGTAATTTTCCCTGTAGAGCTCTTTTTCTTTCTTGGCTAAATTTAATTCCTAGGATGTTTTGTTGTTGTTTTGTTTTGCATTTTTGGTAGCTAGTGTGAATGGGGTTGTTTTCTTAATTTCCTTTTCATCAAGTATGCTATAAGTATATAAAATGCTATTGTTTTTTGTTTGTTGATTTTGTATCCTGCAATTTTACTGAATTTGTTATCAGTTTTATAGTGGAGTCTAGGTGTTTCTCCATATTAAATGTTACTACCTGCTAACAGGGATAATTTGACTTCTTCCTTTCTGATATGGATGCTCTTTACTTCTTTTTCATGCCTAATTGCTCTTGCTAAGAAGAGTGTTTCTGGATATTGTTTTGTTCCAGACCTTAGAGGAAACAGTTTTAGTTTTTTACCATTCTTTATGATGTTGGCCATAAGTTTGTCATAGGTAGCCTTTATTGTGTTGATGTATGTTCCTTCTACACTTAATTTTTGAGAATTCTTTTTTCCATCATGAAGGAATCTTGAGTGAGAATAGTGTAATTTTAAAGTCACTACAGTTTATCAAGTGCTTAATGAATGTTGTAAATTGGATCTAGACCACTACAAGGAAAATCAATTGCTAATATCTGAAAGATATTAGAAATGAAAATTGCTAATATCTGAAAGATAATCTACTTCATTAATAATAGTGTGGTTGAAATGAAATACCTGTTTTTTGACCACAGTCTGACAAAAATGTAAAGAACTTTGTCTTTATGAACATGGCAAACCTAGGTACTTTCATTATTAATAGGAG